ATCCATTGAATATATAGTTTACTTTCATGCAAACCATAAAAGGCAGGTTTGGTACCGATATATTCAAACTTATAGCACATTGGTTGTTCCTCTCCAGGTGACAATCTCTGACTGCAATTCGTACTTCCTAAGCACTGCATCATTCAGGCATCGGTAACTGCTACATGTATCAAATACCTCCGAATTCGCCAGGCATTCTGCACAACAATAACCGGATGAACAAAGCGGAACTTCAGCAGAACCATGCCAAATGTCAAAGTTCATACGAAACAGATGCAGCGGAATATCAGTTTTTAACGCTTGCTGATAATCCAGCACCATATATAAATATAACTTTGAGTATTACATTTGCTTGACGTTTATTCTGCAACTGCACAGTTTTTTTTTTTTTTTTGGTAGAATTCTACCTCATAACTTTCAATTCATCAAAATGAGATCTAATTAACTGGATCTGCATCCGGTACTGGTGCAGAAAATTCGACCGCTTGATCTGCTGCCTGGAATAATTGGAAGTGGTTAGTTAGTTTGAAATAATGCTGCATACAGTAATGAATTTGAAATAAATTCTTCACAGGACCAAAGGGTGGAATGATTCGTGAGCATTCACACGTGAGGTTGAGAGCGTAAAGCGGGAACATAGTCAAAAAGTTCCATTTCGTTGAGTGTTTTGCTCTAACGAAATGTCTTCTCAAGGGACCCCGAGAAAATTTAGCGAGAAAATCGCGATTATGGAAAGAAAACAGAATGAGGATCAGGAAGCTTTTACTTCAATAATGCGTGATGTACGGTCCATTACTAGTAATTCACATCGCGTTCAACCTGTGCCTACTGCAAGTCTTGCTCCGCCAATTCTGTACAATCGTAATAGTACTTCCTTACCTAATGTAAGTGATACTACTTACTACTGGTCATTGCCGCAACAGCAACAGTTGCTACAACAGCAGCAGTTGCAACAGCAGCCACAGCCACAGTCTGCAGCAAGTCCACCACATCCTTGTAGAAGTCGTTCTCCGGGTGCTGCGCACTATCATCCATATAAACATGCTGGTGTTCCCGAGCGTAGTCCACCTGCAGACTACAACAGGATGGAATGTTCTAACCACCATTTGCAGCCTCCTGAAATGTTGTGGCAAAAGTTAGCTTACATTTGTTTTACGTTTTACATATTATTTGTTTTTTTTCCTTTTCTTTTACTTTCTTTTTCTTGCTTTTCTTTTTTCCTTTTTTTATTTTCTTTCTTTTTCATTTTTATTTTTGCTTTCGTGGCTGTAAATGGTAAGCTTTTGTGTCTGTTGTATAGCCTCTGACCATTCGTTAATCTGCGAGTGGGTCGCAGCTGAGTTAAACTGTTCATTTGAGTTATGTTATTGACTGACGCATGAGCAATGGAATGATATTTACATTCCTTTCTACTCGCTATTTGTTGCTTGTCTTTTTAATTCAATTAAATCATCATTAAGTCGTGGCCCTTTTTCATTTATTTAGTTTTTTTTTTGTTGCCAAAGGAAGTTTTCACGTATTTGGAATATTCTGATTATTTTTACGTTGAGTAAATTAGATATTTTTAGAGAGTCTAAATCTGAAGATTGAAATTTAAGTACGGATTTTCAACATTATTCCTCTAGTTTTTTCTACCGTACGAAAGACATTTAGTGGCAGTCGCTTTTTACGTTCTAGCAGATTGGTTTTGCTAATGGTCTCAGTTTTTACTTACCACTGTAAGGGATCGCAAACAGTTTGGGTGTATATAAATAGTTATTAAACTTTTGAGGGAATATCAAGTTTTAAAATGAGCATTAACCATTTTTTTCTTTTTTTCAGAGCGCGTAGTGATCCGGCCATTCACACGTTTGATGAAATTTCTGCTTCACAGAGTATTAATGAGCTTATGCTAAATCAGATTGCAATGCAAGCTCAAGTGCAGCAGATGCAGCAGATGCAACCGTTGCAGCATGCACAAGCCCAACAGTTACAGTCACAGTTGCGCGTTCAACCACAGATGCAAGCAAATCCTTCGAGTAGCCCGATTTATATACCACCACCACAAAGAAGGCCAGAAGAAGTATTAGTAGGCTCATTACCTAATATGATACCGGGACCTACACCACCTTCTTACAATTGCCACCAACCCGTTAGCCAGCGTCACAGTATGGGTATATGTCAGACGCTAGCTGCCCCACCAGTAATGAATGAATCTATGTCTGCGCCAACTAGTCCACAACAAAGTTATGAAGTTCAAGCCCCACCAAGTTATTCACTTCGCAACTACTCGACAAGCCCTGAACCTATGGCACCAATTCCTAATATTGTTCTAACGGGTACTGATGGAAGTTATGATGGCTTTCGAGATGTTCGAGAGATTAATGAAGTTCCTTCGCGTGATTTACAGCAAGAATATTTAGTTCAGCAGCTGCAGCCATCAGCCGTCCAGCGCCAAAGTCTAGGTGCTGGTGATAATGGGGAATTGCGGAATTTACGTAGGGAATTACAAAACTGTGACATAAATCAGTGTAATACAAATCGTATCGATCCGCAATGTGAGCGAACGATATTTTAATTGATCTCAGCTGACTGTTGATTAACTTCTCTCAATAACTTGCCATGGCTCAGGTGAGGCTTATCTCATTACGATATTCGATTTCGTTCCCAATTGTCTTTTAAACATTGTTGATTTTTTGGCCAAAAGGTTTAATTTTTTATTTGCAGTATTAATTGTTTTGAATTAGATCCGTTAATGCTTTGTAATTAAAACTTTCTAAGCTTCTTGTTTCAAAAACGAGAGTTTCTGAGCTGCTTTTTTCCGTCTTCTAATTTTACTGGGTGAGGTTAGTGAAAAATCAGGCATGATTTTAACAAAAATTTCTAGAAAAAGGTGTATCCTTTAATACGGGTTGGAGGGAGGATAACGCTATGGTATTTTTAATGGGGGATATTCTGCGACATATCGTTTAACATTTTTCTTTTGAATCCCCGAGCATTTGACGGTCGCCTGCATATTAAGCTTTTAAGTACTGTTTTCCGGTTTTTTTTTTTTTTTTTTTTTTTTTTTTTTTT